AGGAAAATGCCACACAGCACTTTAAGTACAGCACTTTAAAAGTTTACAACTTTAAAATTTATTGAATGACAGCCTTCTTTTTTTTGGGCAATCCTCTGTGGTGGAGTGGCTGGTTGGCCGGAGGCCCCCCCACCGCGTTCTTGGGCGTCTGGGTGTGGAGGCTATGGAACTTGGGGAGGAGGGCGGTTGGTTACAGAGGGGCTGCAGTGGCAGTCTGTGCTCCAGCTGCCTTTGCTGCAGCTCAACCATACACTGGAGCATACTGGTTTGGTCCTGCAGCAGCCTCAGCATTGAATCCTGCCTCCTCTCATCACGCTGCCGCCACATTTGAGCTTCAGCCCTGTCTTCAGCCTGCCACTTACTCTCTTCAGCCCGCCACTTACTCTCTTCAGCCCGCCACCTCTCCTCCCGGTCATTTTGTGCTTTCCTGCACTCTGACATTATTTGCCTCCACGCATTCGTTTGTGCTCTGTCAGTGTGGGAGGACAGCATGAGCTCGGAGAACATTTCATCGCGAGTGCGTTTTTTTTTCTTTCTAAGCTTTACTAGCCTCTGGGAAGGAGAAGATCCTGTGATCATTGAAACACATGCAGCTGGTGGAGAAAAAAAAAGGGACAGCGGTATTTAAAAAGACACATTTTATAAAACAGTGGCTACACTCTTTCAGGGTAAACCTTGCTGTTAACATTACATACATAGCACATGTGCTTTCGTTACAAGGTCGCATTTTGCCTCCTCCCACCGCGTGACTACCCCCTCAACCTTCCCCCCTCCCTGTGGCTAACAGCGGGGAACATTTCTGTTTAGCCACAGGCAAACAGCCCAGCAGGAATGGGCTCCTCTGAGTGTCCCCTGAAGAAAAGCACTCTATTTCAACCAGGTGACCATGAATTAGATCTCACTCTCCTGAGGATAACACAGAGAGATAAAGAACGGATGTTGTTTGAATGCCAGCAAACATACACTGCAATGCTTTGTTCTACAATGATTCCCGAGTACGTGTTACTGGCCTGGAGTGGTAAAGTGTCCTACCATGAAGGATGCAATAAGGCTGCCCTCCCCAGAAACCTTTTGCAAAGGCTTTAGGACTACATCTAGGAGAACCGCAAATGCCAGGGCAAAGTAATCCTTTCACATGCTTGCTTTTAAACCATGTATAGTATTTTAAAAGGTACACTCACCAGAGGTCCCTTCTCCGCCTGCTGGGTCCAGGAGGCAGCCTTGGGTGGGTTCGGGGGGTACTGGCTCCAGGTCTAGGGTGAGAAACAGTTCCTGGCTGTCGGGAAAACCGGTTTCTCCGCTTGCTTGCTGTGAGCTATCTACAACCTCCTCCTCATCATCATCTTCTTCGTCCCCAAAACCTGCTTCCGTATTGCCTCCATCTCCATTGAAGGAGTCAAACAACACGGCTGGGGTAGTGGTGGCTGAACCCCCTAAAATGGCATGCAGCTCATCATAGAAGCGACATGTTTGGGGCTCTGACCCAGAGCGGCTGTTCGCCTCTCTGGTTTTCTGGTAGGCTTGCCTCAGCTCCTTCAGTTTCACGCGGCACTGCTTCGGGTCCCTGTTATGGCCTCTGTCCTTCATGCCCTGGGAGATTTTCACAAAGGTTTTGGCATTTTGAAAACTGGAACGGAGTTCTGATAGCACGGATTCCTCTCCCCAAACAGCGATCAGATCCCGTACCTCCCGTTCGGTCCATGCTGGAGCTCTTTTGCGATTCTGGGACTCCATCATGGTCACCTCTGCTGATGAGCTCTGCATGGTCACCTGCAGCTTGCCACGCTGGCCAAACAGGAAATGAGATTCAAAAGTTCGCGGTTCTTTTCCTGTCTACCTGGCCAGTGCATCTGAGTTGAGAGTGCTATCCAGAGCGGTCACAATGGAGCACTCTGGAATAGCTCCCGGAGGCCAATACCATCTAATTGTGTCCACAGTACCCCAAATTCGACCCAGCAACGTCGATTTAAGTGCTAATCCACTTGTCAGGGGTGGAGTAAGGAAATCAATTTTAAGAGCCCTTTAAGTCGAAATAAAGGGCTTCATCGTGTGGACGGGTGCAGGTTTACATCGATTTAACGCTGCTAAATTCGACCTAAAGTCCTAGTGTAGACCAGGGCTCAGACTGGAAATAAGGCATGAAGTTTTAATAGTGAGGGTAATTAACGACTGGAACAATTTACCGAGGATTGTGGTGGATTCTCCATTACTGACAATTTTAAAATCAAAATTGGAATTTTTTCTAAAAGATCTGCTCTAGAAAATTATTCTGGGGAAGTCCTATGGCCTGTGTTATAGAGGAGGTCAGATGAGACGATCACAGTAGTCCCTTCTGGCCTTGGAATCTATGAATATATGACTCTAACATTCCTAACAAATTTGACACAAAATAAGAATAATGTGGCAACTTTATTCTTGGTGCAAATAAAGATGAGGGTCTGAGCAAGAACCTTATACACAGAATAAGTTTCCTGGAACGAACAGAAGAGAATGGAGCTTTTCTAAAGGAATGGATGGGAAAGTATAGGGAGAAAAATCTTTGTATTTATCCCAGCTATACCTCAAATAACCACCAGATGGCAGTAAATATCTATGTGACCATATTCACTGGCAAGGCATATCCTGTATTACTTTGTTCTATATTTCAACCACTTTGCGGGCTGAAAGAGTCTGAAAGAGTCTTAGTGACGCTAACCAGATGGGCATGCAGACACAGGAAATCAGAAATAGCAAGGGATTGTTTCAGGGCAGTATTGAAGTGTATCATCACAGCTTTGTGAGGCCGCCCCGGACTGAAGTAGCAGGGGGACAGCAGGCCAGGACTGAGATGCATCTGCAAAGCTGTGTAGCAGGCCCCAAGACTGGATATCAGAGGAAGCTGCAGGGCAGGTGGTGATCCCCATGGCTTCCCTAGATTTGATCATCGGATTTAAATTAATTTGCTCCTGTGTTGTCAATTGTCATTTTGACCTCCAGCCAGTCAGATGACTTCAGCTGTTGCCATAGCGACCAGCTTGCCTTTCCCTCTCACCAGTCACATCTCGCCCCTGGGAAACAATCAGCTGTCAGTCAAGCTTTCTGTGGGCTTGGTGTCAATCCAGCCTCTCCTGCTGCTGCAACAGTCCCTGTTTTAGGTGCTTAATTCAGGCACTTTTGAAAATCCTACTAGGCACCAATCTGCCTCTTTAGATACCTCATCCCTTTGTAAATCTGGCCCATAGGGATTATCTAGACAGGAAAGTCAGACTTTCATTGAACACCTTTATAGCTACACCAAAACACTCCCTGTGTGGACACTCTTTTTCCAGAATAAAAGTGGCTTTTTCCAATTTAGCTGATGTTGCTTTGGAAGGCACTCTAAAACTTGGGGAGAGGGATAGCTCAGTGGTTTGAGCATTGGCCTGCTAAATCCAGGGTTGGGAGTTCAATCCTTGAGGGGGCCATTTAGGGATCTGGGGCTAAAATTGGGGATTGGTCCTGCTTTGAGCAGGGGGTTGAACTAGATGACCTCCTGAGGTCCCTTCACCCTGATATTCTATGATTCCATACTGGAACAAGAGTGCCACATGGGGGTTATACTATTGTGGTTTAACTATAAGTGGAAATACCTCCCATGTAGACAAACCCTTAGTCTCTGTGTTCCTCAGTTCCCCCATCTGTAAAATGGGATAATAGTACTTCATTACAACACAGGGGAGTTATAGGGAGAAATACATTACAGATTGTGAGGTGCTCAAATGCTACAGTAAGGGCAGGGGGGCATATACGTACCTTCAGCATTAGACAGAGGTTTACTTCAGTAGAAGGAAGAGAAGCAACAGCATAAGGGAAAGGAAAGAAAATGGAGGGAGTAAATGAATAAAAAAGCCAAACTGAAACTGGTGAAAGAGAGAATGGAGAGATATTAAATCTGTAGTAACATGACAAGGAGGCTAGAGTGAATCAGAAAGAGAGACAACAGCTTACAATGGGGTGACAGATTGTAGGGGAAAATGCAGAAGAAAAACTAATGTAGAAAAAGGAAAATAGATCAGAAAAATCCAGAGCCAGACCTTTTTCCGTGATTTTCTGGAACATAGTTCATTGATTATGTTAATAGAGGCTCCCATGTGAAAAGAATGTTTTACTCACAATGGTTTGGACCTCACAATATGAGTTCATTTTTCATGTCCCAGCACAGGTTTGTTGATTGGAGAGGATCCTCCTTCTCACCAGCAGAGATTTGACTTTGATTGACTTAACATTAAAGAAAGACATAGAAAAGCCTCAAAAGGTGAAGAGAAGGGCTGTTTCTTTGGTGGTGTTTTTTTGTTTTTGTTTTTAATTTAGTTGGTCTAGAAAGCCTCTGAAAACTCAAAGAGTCCCAAACAGCGGCACATCTAGCAAGAAGCATCACTGCTCCTCTGGTTTAAAGTATCCTTACAGGTCCTGAGCACAAGCAGCAACAAGCCACAAAACTATCTTTTCAATCCAGGGACAGTGGATTCAGTAGTCTGCATGGCAGGAAAAGGGTTTTTGCTAAGGGGAGATCAGCCAGAAGGCTGAATTCCAGTGGGCAAGTTAACAGCTTCTCCTGAAGAACCTTCAATCTATACAGGTTTCAGAGGAGCAGCTGTGTGAGTCTGTATCCGCAAAAAGAACAGGAGGACTTGTGGCACCTTAGAGACTAACCAATTTATTTGAGCATAAGCTTTCCTGAGCTACAGCTCACTTCATCGGATACATGCAGTGCATTCAATCTATACAGTCTATCTTGTGCACCGAATGAGGCTGGAATGGAATGGAAAAAATAGTATGTCCATGTAACTACAGATTGTACCATAAAGCATAAGCACAAGGGAGAAGAGTTAAAGTTGTCCTGATCCCTGTCCCCAAGAGCTGCCTCCTTGCCCACTCCCTCACCCAGATATCTCCCTCACTGGGTGCAGCCTGATCCCTGCTCCTCAGAGCTGCCTCCTCTGTCTCCTCCCCTCCACTGTGCATTACCCCACTGTGAAGAGAAGACCTTAGTGCATAGCAGGCTCGTGTGAGGTAGATTTACACGCTGGCTTTAGATGCAAGAAGTTTTGATATAGACAAAGCCTTAGTCTAGTGCCTTATGTACCGGACCATGCAGTCATTAAAAGGCAGCCAGCCAGTCAGGCAGCGGCACAGACGGCTGCAGCGGCACAGGAGCCAGCAAACAGAGCTGTAAACAGGGGAGTGTGAAAGGGGCGTTTGTCTTGTGGTGCTCGTTTGGGTTTGTTTTGCTGTGGGGGGTGGTGTTTTGGTGTGGTTTGTGTTTCCCAGATTAACAGGATTTAGGTGGGAAGGCTATGACCGATACAGAGGCAGCAGTGGGAGTGACCCATGTCGTGGAAGACACAATGAAGATGACTGGATGTGGAAGCTGCGGTATTTACGTGATCCTGGAGGGGGCACCTGGTAAGAGTTTTGTCTGCATGAAATGCCGCCTGATAGAGCTGATGGAGGAAAAGATCTGAGGTTTGGCGATGCAGGTGGAAAGTCTGGTTGAGTTTAGGAAGGGGTTTGAGCAGATTATGGGGCCAAGACATGAGGTATCTGAAGGGAAAAGCTCAGACTTGCAGATGGAAGCAGGGCTGGGGAATTTTGAGGGGAGACTGCTGGGTGAGGAAAGTGGCCAGTGGAAGCATGTGACTAAGAGAACCAGGCAGAGGAAAAGACGGGCTAGTGAAGGAGAAATGGAGCTCAAGAATAGGTTTGCAGAGTTGGAAAATGAAGAAGGGGCTCAGCAGGTAATCACTGAAGATGGAAGGGCAAGGAAGAAGAGAAGAGCGGCTAGTCCTATAGGAAAAGGGGAAGAGTTAATGGAGACTACACCAAATATGAGCCCCAGGAGGATACAGGATGGGTTTAAGATGATTACAAGGGAGAATAGGAATGGAAAGAACTTGCAGCCAAAGGGAACAGGGGATAGACTGGAGAGTAGCACCGTCACCAGGAAAAGGCAGGTCTATGTGATTGGGGACTCTTTACTGAGAAGAATAGACAGGCCTGTAACCAGAGCTGATCCAGAGAATAAAAGGGTGTGCTGTCTTCCAGGTGCTAAGATACGGGATGTAGACCTGAGGTTGAAAAGGATCCTAAAGGGAGCGGGAAAGAATCCCCTAATTATCCTTCATGTGGGAACAAATGATACAGCTAGATTCTCGCTGGAAAGTATTAAGGGAGACTATGCTAGGCTGAGGAAGACACTTAAGGAAATCGAGGCTCAGGTGATCTTCAGTGGGATTCTGCCTGTTCCTAGAGAAGAGCAACAAAGGTGTGACAAGATTATGATGCTCAATAGATGGCGCAGGCAATGGTGCTATAAGGAGGGCTTTGGGATGTATGGCCACTGGGAGGCATTCATGGACAGAGGACAGTTCTCTCGGGATGGACTTCATCTGAGTAGGGAAGGAAATAGACTTCTAGGATGGAGGCTGGCACAACTGATTAAGAGAGCTTTAAACTAGGAATTTGGGGGAGATGGTTGGGAGATGTCCAGGTCATCTCCACGCCAGATTTTAGCATTGAGAGGGAAGAAAACGAAGTAAGAGAGGATACAGCCATGGGTAGGAGAATGGATATAAGGAGGAAGGGCAGTGTGAATACCAGTCTAATAGGTTATACTGGCTGTAGAATGACCGTGCCTAATAGGGTACAGAATGTGAGTGAGGCCAAACAGCAAAAATTAAGAATTTTGTACACCAATGCGAGGAGCCTAGGTAACAAAATGGAGGAACTAGAGCTACTGGAGCAGGAAGTGAAACCAGATATTATAGGGATAACAGAAACGTGGTGGAATAGTAGTCATGACTGGACTATAGGTATTGAAGGGTATGTGCTGTTTAGGAAAGACCGAAATAAAGGCAAAGGTGGTGGAGTAGCATTGTATATCAATGATGAGGTAGACTGTAAAGAAATAAGAAGCGATGGAATGGATAAGACAGAGTCCGTCTGGGCAAAAATTACATTGGGGAAGAAAACTATTAGAGCCTCCCCTGGGATAGTGCTTGGGGTGTGCTATAGACCCCCAGGATCTAATTTGGATATGGATAGATGTTGTTTTTAATGTTGTTAATAAAGTAAATACTAATGGAAACTGTGTGATCATGGGAGACTTTAACTTCCCAGATATAGACTGGAGGACAAGTGCTAGTAATAATAATAGGTCTCAGATTTTCCTAGATGCGATAGCTGATGGATTCCTTCATCAAGTAGTTACTGAACCGACTAGAGGGGATGCCATTTTAGATTTGGTTTTGGTGAGTAGTGAGGACCTCATAGAAGAAATGGTTGTAGGGGATAATCTTGGTTCAAGTGAGCATGAGCAAATTCAGTTCAAACTGAATGGAAGGATTAACAAAAATAAATCTGCGACTAGGGTTTTTGATTTCAAAAGGGCTGACTTTCAAAAATTAAGGAAATTAGTTAGGGAAGTGGATTGGACTGAAGAATTTATGGATCTAAAGGTAGAAGAGGCCTGGGATTATTTTAAATCAAAGCTGCAGAAGCTATCGGAAGCCTGCATCCCAAGAAAGGGGAAAAAATTCATAGGCAGGAGTTGTAGACCAAGCTGGATGAGCAAGCATCTCAGAGAGGTGATTAAGAAAAAGCAGAAAGCATACAGGGAGTGGAAGAAGGGAGGGATCAGCAAGGAAAGCTACCTTATTGAGGTCAGAACATGTAGGGATAAAGTGAGACAGGCTAAAAGTCAAGGAGAGTTGGACCTTGCCAAGGGAATTAAAACCAATAGTAAAAGGTTCTATAGCCATATAAATACGAAGAAAACAAAGAAAGAAGTGGGACCGTATGATTGGAGAATTGCTAACATAGTTCCTATTTTTAAGAAAGGGAAAAAAAGTGATCCGGGTAAGTATAGTCCTGTTAGTTTGACATCTGTAGTATGCAAGATCTTGGAAAAAATTTTGAAGGAGAAGGTAGTTAAGGACATTGAAGTCAATGGTAAATGGGACAAAATACAACATGGTTTTACAAAAGGTAGATCGTGCCAAACCAACCTGATCTCCTTCTTTGAGAAAGTAACAGATTTTTTAGACAAAGGAAACGCAGTGGATCTAATTTACCTAGATTTCAGTAAGGTGTTTTATACCGTGCCACATGGGGAATTATTAGTTAAATTGGGTAAGATGGGGATCAATAGGAAAATTGATAGGGTGGATAAGGAATTGGTTAAAGGGGAGACTACAATGGGTCCTACTGAAAGGTGAACTGTCAGGCTGGAGGGAGGTTACCAGTGGAGTTCCTCAAGGATTGGTTTTGGGACCAATCTTATTTAATCTTTTTATTACTGACCTTGGCACAAAAAGTGGGAGTGTGCTAATAAAGTTTGCGGATGATACAAAGCTGGGAGGTATTGCCAATTTAGAAAAGGACAGGGATATCTTACAGGAGGATCTGGATGACCTTGTAAACTGGAGTAATAGTAATAGGATGAAATTTAATAGTGAGAAGTGTAAGGTCATGCATTTGGGGATTAATAACAAGAATTTTAGTTATAAGCTGGGGACGCATCAATTAGAAGTAACGGAGGAGGAGAAGGACCTTGGAGTATTGGTTGATCATAGGATGACTATGAGCCGCCATTGTGATATGGCCGTGAAAAAAGCTAATGTGGTCTTGGGATGCATCAGGAGAGGTATTTCCAGTAGGGATAAGGAGGTTTTAGTACCGTTATACAAGGCACTGGTGAGACCTCACCTGGAATACTGTGTTCAGTTCTGGTCTCCCGTGTTTAAGAAGGATGAATTCAAACTGGAACAGGTACAGAGAAGGGCTACTAGGATGATCCGAGGAATGGAAAACTTGTCTTATGAAAGGAGACTCAAGGAGCTTGGCTTGTTTAGCCTAACTAAAAGAAGGCTGAAGGGAGATATGATTGCTCTCTATAAGTATATCAGAGGGATAAATACTGGAGAGGGAGAGGAATTATTTAAGCTCAGTACCAATGTGGACACAAAAACAAATGGATATAAACTGGCCATCAGGAAGTTTAGACTTGAAATTAGACGAAGGTTTCTAGCCATCAGAGGAGTGAAGTTTTGGAATAGCCTTCCATGGGAAGCAGTGGGCGCAAAAGATCTATCTGGCTTTAAGATTAAACTTGATAAGTTTATGGAGGAGATGGTATGATGGGATAACATGGTTTTGGTAATTAAATATTCATGATAAATAGGCCCAATGGCCTGTGATGGGATATTAGATGGGGTGTGATCTGAGTTACCCAGGAAAGAATTTTCTGTAGTATCTGGCTAGTGAATCTTGCCCATATGCTCAGGGTTCAGCTGATCACCATATTTGGGGTCGGGAAGGAATTTTCCTTCAGGGCAGATTGGAAGAGGCCCCGGAGGTTATTCGCCTTCCTCTGTAGCATGGGGCACAGGTCACTTGCTGGAGGATTCTCTGCTCCTTGAAGTCTTTAAACCACGATTTGAGGACTTCAATAGCTCAGACATAGGTGAGAGGTTTTTCGCAGGAGTGGTGGGTGAAATTCTGTGGCCTGCGTTGTGCAGGAAGTCAGACTAGATGAACATAATGGTCCCTTCTGACCTAAATATCTATGAATCTATTAATCTATAAATATGAGTCATGCCCATCTGGTGCTTATTGGCAAGGTCTGTGCGAAATGAGTTGGTGAGTCTCAGTCTGGTCTCCAGAGGGACAGACACACCCACATCATAAAATAACAGTTGGGTTTCATCATCACTCTCCTTCCAGTTAGCACTACTGAATCACTTGTCTGAGCTACAAAGACTAAGAGGCAAAGGACTGAATGAGCTATGGAGACTGAGCTCCCCGTTAACTGCTCCAGGGCAGGATTGAAGCTAGGATTTCCAGGTGTCCGATGTTACAACCAGAACGCCAGGTTGAAAAGGGACCCTGGAGTCTCTGGTTGGCACTGCCGATTGGTCCGTTAAATGTTCAGTCAGCGGCACAGCGGGGACCCAGGGCTAAGGCCTGCCCTAGCTCCATGCGGCTCCCGGAAGCAGCCGCCAGGTCCTTGCAGCCCATAGGCGCCAGAGTGGCCAGGGAGGCTCTGCGCGCTGACCTGGCCCCAAGTGCTGACTCCGCAACTCTCATTGGCTGGGAACACGCAATCAATTGGAGCTGCGGGGGTGACTCCTGCAGGCACGAGGCTGTACATGGAGCTCCCTGGCTGCCCATGTGGCTAGGAGCTGCAGGGACCTGGCAGCTGCTTCCTGGGAGCCATGGTAAGCGCTGCCGGGACCCCGAACCTTCTGCCCCAGCCTGGAGTCCTCTCCTGCACCCCAAACCCCTCATCCGCGGCCTCACCCCAGAGCCCGCACCCCCAGCCGGAGCCCTCACTCCCCTCCTGCACCCCAACCCCCCAGCCCCAGCCTGGTGAAAGTGAGTGAGGGTGGGGAGAGTGAGCGATGGAGGGAGACGGGATGGAGCAAGCAGGGGGCAGGGCCTTGGAGAAGGGGTGGGGGAGGGGTGTTCAGTTTTGTGCAATTAGAGAAAGTTGGCAACCCTAATTGAAGCATGCTGGTGGGGGCAAGGGAGAGATTGCTTTGCTGCTGCCCATTCTGTACCAATCTAGTAGCTAAGAGGGGATTCAGTGTCTGGGGGCTGCTGATCTGTCACCTTTTGGCAGGAACAAATTCACTTTAAAGAAGAAAAAGGGAGAGAAAGAGATGAAGGAGGGAGACAGGAGGAAGGATAGAGAAAGAGACAGAAGAGAATAGGGGAACTCAAGAAAGAGAACAGTGGAGGGGACAGAGAGAGATGAAGGAGGGAGACTAGGAGACAGAGAAGGAGGAAGATAAGAGAGAGGGGGAGATGGAGCAGGCTGAAAAGTACAGAGACAAAGTGGGAGAGAATGTCTTTTACTTGATCAGTGATTTTCAAACTGCGGGTCACGACCCAGTACTGGGTCACGGAATGGAAGGGACTGGGTTGCGGCAGCTTTGGCCAGTGCCACCGACCAGGCCATTAAAAGTCCCGTCAGCGGTGCTGCCCAGCTAAGGCAGGCTAGTTCCTACCTGTTCTGATACTGTGCTGCACCCCGAAAGTAGCCAGCAGCAGGTCCAGCTCCTAGGTGGGTGGCCCACAGGGCTCCGCATGCTGCCCCCACCCCGAGCACCGGCTCTGCACTCCCATTGGCCGGAAACCAGCCAATGGGAGCTGGGGGGGGAGGGATTGGTTCTTGCGGGCGAGAGGAGCTGGAACCGCTTCCAGGGCACAGCGGTGTCCACGGTGCCAGGACAGGCAGGAAGCCTGCCTTAGCACTCCTGCTGCGCCACTGACTGGGAGCCACCCGAGGTAAGCCTGTGGTCCAATCCCCTGCCCCAGCCCTGAGCCCCCCCCCCAAATCCAGAGCTCCTTCCTGCACCCCAAGCCCCTCATCCCCAGCCCAACCCCAGAGCCTGCACCACCAGCCCAGAGCCTTGACCACCTCCTAGACCTCAACCCCGTGCCCCAGCCCAGAGCCGCCTCCCACACCCTAAACCCCTCATCCCCAGCTCCATTGTGTCATGGGTATTAACAATTTTCTTCAACTGGGTCGCCAGAAGAAAAGTTTGAAAACCACTGTACTAGACCAACTTCTGTGGTGGAAGATACAAACTTTCGGCACAGAGAGCTCTTCTTCAACAACTGGGAAAAGTACAGAGGTAGTCACATGAATGACATGATGCGGCTGAGAGAGTGAGCAAGAGCGATACAGCGATTGGAATTTACTCTCATCCAGGCATGCCTGGAATGTTCCCCTCCCACCCCCCACTACACTTTCAGGCCTGGCTCACCAACTTCCTTTCCCGGTAGGTTTTTACTCTATGTTTTCTAATGCTGTGAAGAGGTTCATCTGAACACACCACAGCTGCTTCCACATACCGCCCTGATTTCTAGCCAGAGAAGAAGAGGATTAAAATTGTGACTGTACAGGATCTCCAGATGAAGGTGTATCTGTGTGGGGAACCCAGGGCTGGAATAGCAGGGGGGCTGCAGTGCAGGACTGAGGCCATTGGTAGAGCTGTGTGGGGAGCCCAGCACTGAAATAGCAGGGGGGTTGCAGGCAGGATTGAGGGGCACTGGCAGAGCTGTTTGGGGAGCCCAGGACTGGAATAAGGGGTGCTGCTGCAGTGCAGGATTGAGGGGCATTTGGCAGAGCTGTGTGGGTCAAGAAGAGATCATCAGATTTTCTTTAGCTTATCAAAAAAAAAAGTGTACATTTGATTGTTCCTTCCTTATATGTAGTACATTGCACTTATCTTTACTGAATTTTATCTTGTTGATTTAAAACCAGTTCTCCAATTTATCAAGTTAATTTTGAATTCTAATCCTGTTCTTCAAAGTACTTGCATCGCTTCCCAGTTTAACGTCACTTGCAAAATTTATGAGCATATTCTTCACACCATCACCCGAGTACTAGAGCCCCGACAGACACCTACTGAACCCCAGTTGATATGTCCTCCAAGTTTGACAGTGAACCGTTGATAACTACTCTTGGAGAATGTTTTTTCAACCACTTGTGCACCCACCCTATAGTAAAAAGAAAAGGAGTACTTGTGGCACCTTAGAGACTAACCAATTTATTTGAGCATAAGCTTTCGTGAGCTACAGCTCACTTCATCGGATGCATTCAGTGGAAAATACAGTGAGGAGATTTATATACACATAGAACATGAAAAAATGGGTGTTTATCATGCACACTGTAAGGAGAGTGATCACTTAAGATGAGCTATTACCAGAAGGAGAGTGGAGGGGGGAAGAAGACCTTTTGTAGTGATAATCAAGGTGGGCCATTTCTAGCAGTTAACAAGAACGTCTGAGGAACAGTGGGGGTGGGAGGGGGAATAAACAAGGAGAAATAGTTTTACTTTGTGTAATGACTCAACCACTCCCAGTCTCTATTCAAGCCTAAGTTAATTGTATCCAATTTGCAAATTAATTCCAATTCAGCAGTCTCTCGTTGGAGTCTGTTATTGAAGTTTTTTTGTTGAAGAATAGCCACTTTTAGGTCAGAAATCGAGTGACCAGAGAGATTGAAGTGTTCTCCGACTAGTTTATGAATGTTAAAATTCTTGACATCTGATTTATGTCCATTTATTCTTTTACGTAGAGACTGTCCAGTTTGCTCAATGTACATGGCAGAGGGGCATTGCTGGCACATGATGGCATATATCACATTGGTAGAGGTGCAGGTGAACGAGCCTCTGATAGTGTGGCTGATGTGATTAGGCCCTATGATGGTGTCCCCTGAATAGATATGTGGACACAGTTGGCAACGGGCTTTGTTGCAAGGATAGGTTCCTGGGTTAGTGGTTATGTTGTGTGGTTGTGTGGTTGCTGGTGAGTATTTGCTTCAGGTTGGGGGGCTGTCTGTAGGCAAGGACTGGCCTGTCTCCCAAGATTTGTGAGAGCGATGGGTCGTCCTTCAGGATAGGTTGTAGATCCTTGATGATGCGTTGGAGAAGTTTTAGTTGGGGGCTGAAGGTGATGACTAGTGGCGTTCTGTTATTTTCTTTGTTGGGCCTGTAGTCCCACCTTGATTATCACTACAAAAGGTCTTCTTCCCTCCCCCACCCCCCACTCTCCTGTTGGTAATAGTTCATCTTAGGTGATCATTCTCCTTGCAGTGTGCATGATAAATACCCATTTTTTCATGTTCTGTGTGTATATAAATCTCCTCACTGTATTTTCCACTGAATGCATCCGATGAAGTGAGCTGTAGCTCACGAAAGCTTATGCTCAAATAAATTGGTTAGTCTCTAAGGTGCCACAAGTACTCCTTTTCTTTTTGCGAATACAGACTAAGACGGCTGCTACTCTGAAACCTGTCACCTTATAGTAATTTCATCTAGAACACATTTCCCTAGTTTGCTTATGAAAAAGGCATGTGGGATTGTGTTAAAACCTTACTAAATTCCAGATATATCATGTCTACAGCTTCCACTAGGCCAGTTATCGTGTCAAAGAAGGAAATTATGTTGGTTTGGCATGCTTTGTTCCTGACAAATGACAGCTTATTATCCTCTAGGTTTGAACAAATTTATTGTTTAATCATTTGTTTCAATATCTTTCCAGGTATCAAAGTTAGGCTGACTGGTCTGTAATTCCCTGGGTCTTCCTCCACACCCCCACCCCCACCCTCCATTTAGAAGATAGGTACTATATTTACCCTCTGGGACCTCACCTGTCCTCCATGGGTTCTCAAAGACAATTGCTAATGGTTCAGAGATTCCTTTTGCTAGTTCCTTAAATACTTTATGATGAATTTCATCGGACCTTGCCAATTTAAATACATATATCTTATTTAAGTATTCTTTAACATGTTCTTCCCTGTTTTGGCCTGAGATCCTTCCCCTCTGTTAATATTCATTGTGTTAAACATCTGGTCACAATTAACCTTTTTAGTGAAGACTAAAAGCAAAAAAGGCATTAAGCACTTCAGCCTTCTCTGTTACACGTTAATTGCTCTCCTTCCCCATTAAGTAATGGATCTACACTTTCCTGCAGCTTTCTCTGTAGACATGCTCTGTCTTCATTGTTATTTACCACTCTACTAACTTTTGTGTCATCTACAAATTTTATCAGCAGCTATTTTATGTTTACTTCCAGGTCATTGATGAAAATGTTGAATAGTGATGGGCCTCGTCCTGATCCCTGTGGAACTCCACTAGAAACACCCCGCTTTGAGGATGATCCTCCATTGGCAACTACTTTTTGAGACAATTTTCGGGGTTCTGTCTGTACCAGTTCTGACCTGTGGATGATTTTATGAAATTGTTTTATGAAGTTACCTTGTCATGGAATGTTTAGATGGATGTGGATCCCCCGTGAGTTAGCAGGACTGTGTCATGTCTCTGCCAGACCAGAGACAATGGTGAGTGATCAGCACTCAACAATGGTCTATTCAAAATAAAACACCTTAGGGCAATGAGTTTGGTTTAGCTGGGAGAAGACACTTCCTCCTTTTGTCTGAAGGTTTGAGAGTAATGGGAAGTGACCAGAAGCAGAACAAAAGAAGCAAGGGATCCCAGCAGGAGTCTATAAGGGATTCACAGGGAGAGACATGTTTTGCGCCAGATTAAGATGAGGGAGGCTCCTGCAGGGGTAGGGTAGACAAGGGGATGGAGGACCCTCCCTGCCTACCTGCCTGATGGAACACTGATGAACTCCCAAGAACTCCAAAGGGACAGGTAAGGTAATGAGGGACATTGTATTTAAGATGTTTTTATTGTTTTGTATGATCTGTACTCTCTTGTGCCTTACATGATTAAATATAAAAGAGCATAGAGATGTTAGACAGGGCAATGGGTGTGTGAGTGTTGATTGCTTTACAACATCTGTGTGTCCCTGAGAGAGTTAAATTGCAAACCAGAAGCTTCACACCTTTGGGTGGAGGTCTGGGAGAGGGTGTGATTAAGTACAGAGCAGTCTAAAGGGTCAGCACTGTGCCCAGAGGGCTAGGCGGTTGGACAGTGGGTTCCAACACTTGGAGGAAGGTGCCAGATAGAAGACAGAGCAATAGGCATGTCTAGGGACTGTGAGATTAGGGCAGTGGCTGGGCTCTGTTCAGATTCCAGGGACTTGAAAGATCCTGGGGAACCAGAGCTCAGAGGCTTGAATTCCCTCACAGCAATCCTAGTGGGTGGCCAACAAAGGGTGCTCACACTGCTTTCCATGATCCAGTCTCCCATTCTGTAGGTATGGCCTATATTCCTCGTTCCTGGATGTATAACTTTGCATTTTGATATATTAAACCACATTTTGTCTGAGTGGGCCCAGTTTACCAAGCCAACCAGATCCGTCTATATGACTGCTTTGTCCTCACCATTATTTACGGATTTGCCACTCTTTGTGTCATCACAAATTTTATCAGCAGCTATTTTATATTTACTTCCAGATCATTGATGAAAATGTTGAATAATGTTGGGTCTAATACTGATCCCAGTGGAAATATCCTCACCTGATGATGATTCTCCATTGACAGCTATTTTTGAGACCTGCCACCTAGGCAGTTATTTAATCCATTCAATGTGTCCTCTAATCATGTTGTATAATGCTAATTTTTCATCAGAATGTTTTGCAGTACTAAGTCAAATGTCTGACAACAGTCTATTACATCTGCAACATTATCTTTGTCAACCAAACTTGTAATCTCCCCAAAGAATGAAAGCAGATTTGTTTGACAAGACCTATTTTCCATAAAACCATGTTGATTGGCATTAATTATATTCCCATCCTTTAATTCTTTATTAGTTGAATCCTATACCAGTTTTTCTATTATTTTGCCCAGGACTGAGGTCAGGTTAACCAGCCTATAATTACCTGGGTATTCCCACGTGCCCTTTGTTAATATTGGCACATTAGCACTCTTCCAGTCTTCTGGATGTCCCATGAATTCTAGGATTATTAAAAAGTAACTTTGGTGGGCCAAAGATCTTCTTATCTAGCTCTTTGCAAATAATCCAGGCCTGCTGGTTTAAAAATGTTTATCCCTAGACATTGCTTAACATCCTCTTTAGTTACTAATGGACTGGAGGTTCTTCATCATCCTCATATGATATGAGGATGTCATTCTCTTCTTTATAAATACGGAACAGAAATATTTATTGAAATATTTGTTGAAGCCTCTTCTGCACCACTATTAACAATTTTGCCATCTGTCTAGTAATGAGCCTATACCAGAGGTTTTCAAACTGTGGTCCATGGACCACCAGTGGTCCACGAGCTCCATTCAGGTGGTTCGCGGATAGTTCCCTCTAAGGTGTGTGCCTGAGCGACCGCACAGAAGACAATGAAGGGCCACCCACTAATTAGGTCCCTGGACCCTGGAGAAGACGCACATGTAAGGTGAGGTGGTGGCCTTGGAAGGAATAGGGAGTAGGTGGGAGGGGGCAGTGGGGTGAGAAGAGGGGGTGGGGGGAATTTGGGACATGCAGGGCTGCGGTGGCCAGAGAAAGAGGTGACTTTCCCCAGCTCCAGGGCTGTGTCTGCCGGGCAGAGATGGCCCTCCTTCTCGGCCTCAGTTCTGTGGCTGCTGTGGCAGGGAAGAGACCGCCCCTCCTTCCCAGTCCCAGCTCGGGGGCTGCTGTGGTGGGGGAGAGAGGGAAAGACCCCACTCCTTCCCAGCTCCAGCTCGGGGGCTGCCACGGTGGGGGAGAGAGGGGACATCCATCGCATTCGAAAGGTAAGACTACTGATATTAAAACATGAGCTGTGTGCTTTTATTTGTAGAACAAATAAAGTAAATTATTATCAGTTTTTTTTATATAGTGCTTTTATCCAAAGTGCTTTACAATAGTTAGCTAACGGTACAAACATTTGGAAAGATCATTAAGTGGTCCACCGTGACCCTCAGCAATTTTCAAGTGGTCAACGGAAAAGAAAGTTTGAGAACCACTGGCCTATACCATTGTTAGGATTTCTTTTCTTCATTAATATACTTTAAAAACTCCTTATTGTCCTTTGGTCTGCAAGCCATGGATTTTTCCCTCATGGTTTTAGGTTCCCTTATCAATTTTTGACACTTCCTAACTTCTCATTCATATTGATTTATATCCATTTCATCTTTTTCCATATGTTATTTATTACATTTTATTTCTAATTACTGCCTTCATTTCACCACTGAACCAGGATGGTCTTTTATTCAAAGTTGTTCTGTTGGTTGACTGTGGAATCAAGGCTTTTTGGCCATATAATAAACTCTCCTTAAAGAAGTCCCAGTTTTCATTCAAATTTTTATGTCTAAATTTTTAATTCCAAGTGGTGTTGTTCTTAATTTCCTCAGTTTTAGGAAATTAGCCCTTGTGGAGCACCAAGCATAGGCGTGAACTTTTAATTTTCCCCGGGGGTGCTCCACCCCTGCTCCACCCCAAGACCACTCCCCCTCCCTTGAGGCCCCGCCCTTACTCTGCCTCTTCCCGCCCCTGCTCCACCCCCTCCCTGAGGCCCCCACCTGCCCACTGCTTGCCTCTCTCCACCCTCTCCCAAGCCCCTCCCTGAGCCACCAAACTGTGCCACTGATGCCGAACAGCTGTGGTTGGTGGGTGCTGAGCACCCTTTTTTCTTCTGTGGGTGCTCCAGCCCTGGAGCACCCATAGAGTCAGTGCCTATGGCACCAGGTACATATATAATTGATTGGCACTGTCCTCTGTTTGCCCATATTGAGGGTGATCAGGTCATCATCAGTGGTCCCTAGACAACTTCCAAAATCCAGTCCAGTGATTGGTTCATCTTTATTTGTCATAATGAAGTCCAAAATAGTTACCATGCATTGAGTGCAAGGCCTTTTGTATTAGAAAATTATCATCTATAATTTTTTAAAACTCTAATGACATTTTTACTTCTAACGGTATGAGCTATCCAGCATATGTCTCTCAAACTGATGTCCCCTACAACAACACATTTTTTCTTTCCACACGTTACATGCAGGTGCTAACTCATCCTTTGCTGTGGTTTGATTGGGTGGCCTCTGATATACCCACTAGTACCCACACCGTGGCTTTCTTAGGTAGCACACTGATTCCTGTGCATTCAAGGTCCTCTGCTTCTGAGTTATCAATAATTGTAAAGCAGGCAAAGGTGTCTTTAATGTAGAGTGCCACCTCCCACATCTTTTACCCACTCTCTCTTTCCAATCATACAAGTCATCCCATCAGATTTCAGTAATGCCAATTATATCAAACTTCTTCTCATCAATGAGAATTTCCAATTCCTTTTACTAATTATCCACACTCCTAGCACTGAAAAATCTCTTCTCTTCACATTCTGTGGCACTTTGGTTCAGATAGTTTGTGACATACTGAGATTGTGTTTGTACTGCATTTGTCTTCTTAGCAACCCCCGCTGCCCCTTGCATTTTTTGTTTAATGCCCTCCTGGCTGCTCCAGCTAGTCTCCAACCAAGAAGATTAGCCCCCATCTTTGTGATGCAGGCTTCCCCATTTATACGGTGCCTCCTCTCTCTGGAACCATGGACCAATGTTTCACAGATCCAAAGCTGACAGTCTCACCATGATCATTGGTCCAGCAGGATCTCTAAGCATACCACTAGAACTTTCCTCTTCATCAGCTCCCTTCCAAGATCCCTAAAGTCTTCTGTAATTGGTGTAGTTTCATGTGATGTCAAGTCATCAGTTCCAGTATGTATCATCACAGGTGAAGAGTTGCCAGACAACTTCGTAATCCTATCCAATCTTATGGTGACTGACTGTGACACCCTGGCACCCCAATATTCACCACTGTCATGTAATTAGGATATGTTTTTTACAAAGTATGCCTTGTGAGGTATCATTCTAAAAGTCTTGATCCACTAGACCAGGGGTTCTCAAACTGGGGTCACAAGGTTATTATGTGGGAGGTTGCGAGCTGCCACCTCTACCCTCAAATCCCACTTCGCCTCCAGCATTTATAATAGTGTTAAATATAAAGAAATGTGTTTTTACTTTATAAGGGGGGTTGCGCTCATAGGCTTGCTGTGTGATAGGGGTCACCAGTACAAAAGTTTGAGAACCACTGTGCTCGACGGTAATATTTCGTTGGATGCTATGTGCTATCATGGTATGTGGAGTTATGAAGTTTGGCTGTGTATGTGTTACTGAAACATGTTGTGAGGTTGAAAACACCCACAAGCAGCCTTTCAGGTACAACAGTAAAAAGGCCAAACAATGTTAATGGCTTACTGAGGAAAGGCACACAGGCACAAGGATTACCCCAGGAACTGTGTGCAATAGAAACCTCTCAGAGAAGCACTACACAATGGGAACTGTTTGACCCAGGTCACAGCAAAAGAGCTTTCCAGCAAGTGGGAAGAAGATATAAAAGGGGGACAACCACACCATGATGGGACCTCACTCTCCCTACAACAACATACCTGGAAACACCTGAGGGGCAAGGACTGAATTGTGGGAAGTGATGGTCCCAGGCTAGAAGGATTTTTAGCCTGTGTATTAAAACTTGGGAAAGCCAAGGCAACTTGTGCCTTAAGAATCTGCCTATTTATTAGCCTGATTATCACTCAGGATGAGAATTTGCTAATTCATATCCTACTTATCTAGTGTGTTAAGATCAGTTTGCAGTTTTGTTTATTTACTAAGGTAATCTGCTTTGATCTGTTTGCTATCACTTATAGTCACTTTAAATGTATCTTTTTGTAGTTAATAAACTTGATTTTGTTTTGTCTATAACCAGTGTGTGGAAATTAGAACTTGGGGCAGAAAGCTGTTGCATATCTTTCTCCACATTGAGGGAGGGGGCAAATTTTATGAGCTTGTACTGTACAGTTCTCTGTGCAGCGCAAGATGGTATAATTTTGGGTTTACCCTCTAGAGGGGGATGTGCACTTGAGTACTGGGCAATTCCTTAGCTGAGCCTTCCCAAGCAGAGCTGATCTCAGCATCTGCATGTAAAGCTGCAGTGGGGTGTGTCCCTACCTGTATGTGTGCTGGTAAAGTACAGTCTGAAGCCTGAGGGAGGGCTGAGCTGGCTTGCCTCAGCAGTACAGTGTATAGGGAGCCCAGGCTGGTGGGTGAGGCAGGCTCAGTGGTAACCCAGTTCCAAGTGGCACCCCGGGGGAATCCGTCACAGTGACATCTTGTATTTTTGCTAGAGGGAGACAGCATGCTGTCCTATTGTCCTTGTGTCCTTTGCTAAATTCTCTGTCTTCTCTTCTTAATATGTAGTTGCTGATGAGGATTGCTTGGTCTCTTAAGTTTGAATGAAATTAGGGCGATATTATAGAAGTCGATTTTTAGAAATCAGTTTTATACAGTCGATTGCGTATGTCCACACTAAGTACATTAAGTCAGTGTAGTGCGTCCTCACTACCATGGCTAGCATTGACTTACAGAGCGGTGCACTGTGGATAGCTATCCCACTGTTCCTGCAGTCTCCGTCGCCCATTGGAATTCTGGGTCAAGCTCCCAATGTCTGATGGGGCAAGAACATTGTTGCGGTTGGTTTTGGGTACATGTTGTCAGTTGCCCCTCTCTCCGTGAAAGCAATGGCAGACAATCATTTCACACCTTTTTTCAATGCAGATGCCATACTGCTTTCAGTAGACGGTGCAGTAGGATTGCTAACCGTTGTCATCCACTGCTTCTGCTGCAACTCTGCTCTGCTGCTATTGTCTCAATAGTGAATTTCACCATGTTGTGTCTTGGGCTCCCAGGTATGTGTGTTCTTCCTCGGGAAATGTGCACGGTGCTAACCGTCATCCTCCACCACTTCCACTGCAACTCTGCTCTCCTGCTCTCCTGAATCCACCTTGTGGGTCCTCTCGTCATTCTCTATAAATATCTATTCTCGTGGCATCCATTGTCACCCACTGCTTCTGCTGCAACTCTGCTCTCCTGCAGACGCCATATCACGGCAAGCATGGAACCCGCTCAGATCACCGCGGCAGTTATGAGCATTGTAAACACCTCGCGCATGATCCTGCAGTATGTGCAGAACCAGAACCTGCAAAAGCCAGGCGAGGAGGTGATGACAGCACGGTGATGAGAATGATGAGGACATGGACACAGACTTCTCTCAAAATACGGGCCCCAGCAATTTGGAAATACTGGTGGCAATGGGCAGGCTCATGCCGTGGAACGCCGATTCTGGGCCTGGGAAACAAGCACAGGCTGGTGGGACCACATAGTGTTGCGGGTCTGGGATGATTCCCAGTGGCTGCAAAACTTTTGCATGCGTAAGGGTACTTTCATGGAACTTTGTGACTTGCTTTGCCCTGCCCTGAAGCGCAAGACTACCAAGATGAGAGCAGCCGTCACAGTTGAGAAGCGAGTGGCGATAGCCCTGTGGAAGCTTGCAACGCCAGACAACTACCGGTCAGTTGGTAATCAATTTGGAGTGGGCAAATCTACTGTGGGGGCTGCTGTGATCCAAGTAGCCAACGCAATCACTGAGCTGCTGCTATCAAGGGTAGTGACTCTGGGAAATGTGTAGGTCATAGTGGATGGCTTTGCTGCAATGGGATTCCCTAACTGTGGAGTGATAGACAGAACGCATATCCCTATCAAGGACCACCTTGGCAGCCAGTACCTAAACCACAAGAGGTACTTTTCAATGGTGCCGCAAGCACTGGTGGATCACAAGGGACATTTCACTGACATCAACTTGGGATGGCCGGGAAAGGTACATGACGCTCGCATCTTTAGGAACTCTGGTCTGTTTGGACAGCTGCAGGAAGGGACTTACTTCCCAGACCAGAAAATGACTATTGGGGATGTTGAAATGCCGATAATTATCCTTGGGGACCCAGCCTACCCCTTAATGCTGTTCAGCTATATGCTGAGCAAGTGCAGAATGGTGGTAGAATGTGCATTTGGATGTTTAAAAGCATGCTGGTGCAGTTTACTGACTCGGTTAGACCTCAGCGAAACCAATATTCCCATTGTTATTGCTGCTTGCTGTGTGCTCCACAATCTCTGTGAGAGTAAGGGGGAGACGTTTATGGCGGGGTGGGAGGTTGAGGCAAATCGCCTGGCCACTGATTATGCGCAGCCAGACACCAGGGTGATTAGAAGAGCACAGCAGGGTGCGCTGCGCATCAGAAAAGTTTTGAAAACCAGTTTCATGACTGTCCAGGCTATGGTGTGACAGTTCTGTTTGTTTCTCCTTGATGAAAACCCGCCCCTTTGGTTCACTCTACTTCCCTGTAAGCCAACTGCCCTCCCCCCTTTGATCACCGCTTGCAGAGGCAATAAAGTCATTGTTGTTTCAAAATCATGCATTCTTTATTAATTCATCACACAAATAGGAGAATAACTGCCAAGGTAGCCCGGGAGAGGTGGGAGGGGAGGGAAGCACCAGGTGGGGTGGTGGATGAGGAGAGGAGGGAAAGACAAGGCCACACTGCACTTCAAAACTTATTGAATGCCAGCCTTCTGTTGCTTGGGCAGTCCTCTGGGGTGGAGTGGTTGGGTGCCCAGAGAGGGCCCCCCCCCAGGTTCTTGGGTGTCTGGCTGAGGAGGCTATGGAACTTGGTGAGGAGGGTGGGTGGTTACACAGGGGCTGCAGTGGCGGTCTGTGCTCCTGCTGCCTTTCCTGCAGCTCAACCAGATGCCGGAGCATATCAGTTTGATCCCCCAGTATCCTCAGCATTGCATCCTGCCTCCTTTCATCACACTGCCACCACCTCTCCTCTTGCTCCTGCAACCTCTCATCTTGCTCGTCCCTCCTGTCCTCGCATTCATTTTCAGCTTTCCTGGACTCTGCCATTGTTTGCCTCCACGCATTCTGCTGAGCTCTTTCAGTGTGGGAGGACTGCATGACCTCAGAGAACATTTCATCGCGAGTGCTTTTTTTTCACCTTCTTATCTGCGCTAGCCTCTGGGATGGAGATGATAGGGGGAGCATTGAAACATTTGCAGCTGTGGGAGGAAAAAAAGGGAGAGTAGTATTTAAAAAGACACATTTTAGAGAACAATGGGTAGACTCTTTCACGGTGAACCAAGCTGTTAACATTACATAGCACATGTGCTTTCAGTACAAGGTTGTATTTTGCCTCTTATATTGAGGGCCTGCTGGTCTGGTGCGAGAGGTCACACACGCAGGGCCAGGCAACAGAATTCAGCTTGCAGGCAGTCATGGTAAGCCACAGGCTTTCGGCTTCTTCAACCTTCATAACGTGGGAATGGTTTCAAACAGCAGCACCCTCCTTTCCCATACCAAGCACCCATTGGGTTGGCCATTTAAAAGGAGGGGCTGCAGTTTTCGGGTTAACGTGCAGCACAAACCCAACTAACCCCTCCCCTCCCCAATTCTCTGGGATGATAGTTTGACCCCTCCTTCCACCGCGTGACTAGTATCAGGGAAGATCCCTGCCAGCCAAACGCGAACAGCTCAGTGTGAACGGGCCCCTGCACGACGTGGCTAAAAGCGGGGATGATTTCTTTTCAGCCACAGGCAAACAGCCCAGCAGGAACAGCCACCTCTGAATGTCCCCTTAATAATGTCCCTGGAGGATTTCTGCTCCTTCCCCAGACACGTTAACAGACTTTTCCAGTAGCTGTTCTGGCCGCGAATGCATCCCAAGTCTTCAGGGCAAATTAATCATTAAACACACTTGCTTTTAAACCATGCGTTATATTTACAAAGGTACACTAACCAGAGGTGCCTTCTCTGGCTTCATGGTCCAGGAGCCTGCCTTGGGAGGGTTGGGAGGGTATTGGCTCCAGGGTGATGAACAGTTCCTGGCTGTCGGGGAGAACGGTTTCTCCACTTGCCTGTTGTGCGCTATCCCCCTCATCATCATCATCTTCCTCGTCCCCAAAATCCTCATCCCTGTTGCATGAGACTCCCCCCTTACAGGTGTCCATGGTCAGGGGTGGGGTAGTGGTAGGGGCACCCCCTAGAATTGCATGCAGCTCATCATAGAAGCTGCATGCCTGGGGCTCTGACCCTGAGCGGCCGTTTGCCTCTTTGGTTTTTTGGAAGGATTGCCTGAGCTCCTTAATTTTCATGTGGCACTGCTGCGGGTCCCTGTTATAGCCTCTGTCCATCATGCCCTTGGAGATTTTTTCAAATATATTGGCATTTCGTCTTTTGGAATGGAGTTCTGATAGCATGGATTCATCTCCCTATACAGCGATCAGATCCCGTACCTCCCGTTCGGTCCATGCTGGAGCTCTTTTGCAATTCTGGGACTTCATGGTCACCTCTGCTGATGAGCTCGCCACGCTGGGCAAACAGGAAATGAAATTCAAAAGTTCCCAGTGCTTTTCCTGTGTACCTGGCTAGTGCATCTGAGTTGAAAGTGCTGTCCAGAGTGGTCACAATGGAGCACTCTGGGATAACTTCCGGAGGCCAATACCATCGAATTGCATCCACACTACCCCAAATTCGACCCAGCAATGTCGATTTCAGTGCTAATCCCCTTGTCAGGAAGAAGTACAGAAATCAATTTTAGGAGCCCTTTAAGTCAACAAAAATGGCTTCATCGTTTGGATGGGTGCAGGGTTAAGTTGATCTAATGCTGCTAAATTCAACCTAAACTTGTAGTGTAGACCAGGACTTAAGACGGCTGGAGAACCCTCTTCTTAGCTGCTTGCTTCATACAGCAAGGATGCCCATCAGATATGTCCCCTGTAGCTGTCTGTTCTAGTCCTCCAGAGACAGGGTCTTCCAGAGTTGACTTACTGAGCAGCTGATAACATTTTGATGCCTCTACCTGGGTTGAATGCCTCCTGGCTCTCTTTCCCCTCTTGGTCACAAATCTCCAGCCCATTTCTCTGGTTGCTTCACTCTCTGGTTCCTTTTTCACTGAACCTTCACCTTGTGGCATCTGTGACAGCAGTTTCCAAATCTGGTTGTCCATGAAGTCTTTGTTTGCTCATATACTGCGCAATGTTGAATCTTGTGCTTCCAGCCCACATATCTTCTCTTTCAATCTGTCCACCAGCTTGCACTTCATACACCTGAAATCACTTCTGTCTTCCAGCAGAAGAGAAAAAGTAGCACACTCAAGGCAGTCACAACAGTTGTTCTCTCATCATCCATATTCGTTATGTGCTATAGAGCCATACCTAAAACAGGAATCAGACTCCCTCTCTAAACTCCCATTGAAACTTGAATGTTTATCACTTCTGTTCACCTGGCAACCAATCTATTTACTAAGACTTGCTTGTCTGCTCTATCCTCCCATTAAGAGGAAGGGATTAACCTGTCCAGGGGCTTACAGCCCAGTCACACAAGCCTCACAGAAAACGCCTCAATGCACAGGAGCTGCAGCTTCACTCTCTGAAACTCCCCTTTGCCGCTTCTTTTTACCCTAAATGGTTTGTGTGTTGCGGAAAGGATGGTGACATAGGCCACAACTTTTTGGGAAGAAAGAAGATTTGGGTGAGGAAGTGGCATATCCCAGCTCCTTCCAAACAGTCCTCAGCAGCATGGATATGTCACGTGGGGTTGTCATGGAGTCACTGGGCTGATGCTCTGGAACTGCTCCATATGAAACCAGCCAGGACTTTGAGGTAACATGCCTCCTGTCTCTGAGCATACCGTCGCCAGAGCAAGAAGTTTACACAGCTTCGGCCTTCCTGGGTCTGACCTCAGAGCATTCAGCATCCCTGTTCTCACTGTGTGCTTCCTTCAGTGAATCTGCCCATGCGGGGCTTCCTTCAGTGAATCCAAAGGGCCTTGCACTCCAATTCCGCAGTCAGCAGTGACTTTCAACCAGCATTGTAAAACGGAAGCTTTATTAGTCGACAGGTACAAAGCGTAGAACAGAATTTGTTAACACAGAAATCAGTGACTTTGAGCCAAGTCCATCTTGGCGGAATCCCAGGCCAGATGCACTGGACTCCCCACTCCAGTTTCCCACAGCAGACTGCCCTGGACTCCGCTGCCTGGCCTCCAACACGCCCGTTGCTTCTCCTCCGGTCTTTGTCCTGCTTCCCGGGCAAAGGGTTACCTGGTCGCATCCCCTCCTGGTTCTCGGGTTACGAAGGGCATCGGCCATCACCTACATGCAGGCAGCTGGGCAGCCTCACCTGCCCTGAAGGCCTCAGCAAAAGTCACACACCCAATTCCCACCAGCTAGGCATTGGTGTCGTACACAGGGAAACTGAGGTATTCACAGTATTAGTTTAGGACAGTAAGAGTCAGATGCAACACAACAGGATGAAAAACCTCACTTCACCACAGGGTTGACCCGAGATGTATTTTGTCACATACAGCCAGTCAAAACCGGGTTCCTTATTCAAGCAAAATTTACACAACAGAGCGGGGAGGAGGGAGCATGACATGAGGAAGTATGTTGTGCAGTGGTGGATTTAGAGTTAGTGGGGCCCTGTACACAGCTTCATTTTCGCCCCCCCTTGGGACCCAGCCAAGAAAAAGAACATTCTCTCTTATCTCTCCCCCACCCCATTTTTCATTCTTTTTTCTTCCTTCTCCTCCTGTATTGTAAGTAATGGAAAGTAAATGAAAATAAAGTGAGGTACTTTGATTGGGGCAGCGGGTTGGGGGGTGGGAAGAGGTGCGGGGGGCAGGCTCTGGGAGGAAGTTTGGGTGCGGGGGTGTGGACTCTGGGCTGCAGCAGGGGGTTGGGGTGTGGGAGGAGGGGTGCAGGCTCTGGGAGGAAGTTTGGGTGTGGGCTCTGGGCTGGGGCAGGGGTCTGGGGTATGGAAGGGAGTGATGGGTGCAGGCTCTGGGAGGAAGTTTGGGTGCGGGGTGCAGGCTCTAGGCTGGGGCAGATGGTTGGGGGATGGGAGGGAGCAGGGGGGTGTCACTTACCTCGGGAGGTGCGGCTCCCAAAGAGACCGGCACACAAACCCCTCCAGCAGCGGCTCCTAGGTTGGGTGGGGGCAGGGGGTCTCTGTGTGGTGCTGCCCCTGCAGCTCCCATTGGACGCAGTTCCCGGCCAATGGGAACTGTGGAGTCAGTGCTCATAGTGGGAGCAGTGCATGGAGACACCCCACCCAAGGGCCACAGGGACATGCCGGCCGCTTCCTGGAGCTAAGTGACATGGAGGGAGGGAGGCAGAAAGGGCAGGAGCCGCCATAGCCCTGCTTCTGGCACATCTCTATGCACCCCTTGCGGGGAGGGGGGCAGCGGGTCTCTATGTGCTGCCTGGGGCAGGGGCAGTGCGTGGAGCTGCTGTGACCCCCCCCCCCGCCAGGGGTGCGCAGAGACATGCCAGCAGCAGGCCGCTTCCGGGAGTGGTGTGGAGCCACCGTCCACAGCATATAGGCAACCTATCTGCCTGAGCCCTGCTGCGCTGCCAGCCGGGACTCAGGGGCAGGTTGTCAGATATTTGTCCTGCATTTTGGGGGCCTCCCTGTCATTGGGGGTCCCGTGCCACCGCACGGTTTGTTTCATGGTAAATCTGCTCCTGATGTTGTGCAGAAATAAAGCTTCAAGTTGAGGAGTAACATGTCTCAGCTACTTA